GAATTAACGCGAGTCCGGTTTCCCTCTCGTAAGACACAGCATGCACTCCACGACTCGTCACTCGCTCTTACTTGGTGGGGTTTCGCACGCCCGCAGGGAGTAAGTAAGCGCGTGCCACGCGTGAAGTGAACACGCACGGAAGAAAACGCGCCCGAAGGCGTGACCCGAGCACGCCGCAGGCTGGCCGGCGTGGCTGCCGCCCTCGCAGAAATAGGAATCCACACTCCGCCGGGGCCGGCCCGGGCTCCATCAGCCGCAGGAGCACGATGGAGCACGGCCAGTGCTGCAGCCGCGCTGGGTGAGCCCCCCCCCGCCCCCGCGTCCTTCTGCAGCGGTAACACGCGTGCCTCGGCAGAAACGGGCGCGGCGCCGGGGAAGGCAATCGCGGGGACGAAAAAGAAGTGCGCGCTTGGCCCGTACGGGGATCGAACCCGCGACCTTGGCGTTATTAGCACCACGCTCTAACCAACTGAGCTAACCGGCCTGCCGACGGCCGCCCTTCCCTCTGGGGGTGGATAACGAGGGGTCCCCTCGCCCCCTCCCGGGAGCGCCGGAGCTGAATCCACGCAAGCGGGAACGCACGCTTAGCTGATGAAGGCGCTCGGCCTCGTCCATAGGCATCCAGCGCCTGGGAGGTAACAACCAGCGCAGGACACGTCCTGCGGTGACTTCACTTCACCTCCGAGTCTGAGGGCGATACTTCCCCAGCTTTTCTAGGATACGATTCCAGTTTCATTTACTTAAACAAAATATTTATTTTGGGCGTTTATTTTAAAGCATTTACTTTTCTGGCTGTTTAACGCACTGTTAGGATCTTAGTCTGCATGGACAAATGATTCACTTTTTCCTAGCATTTTGCTTTTTTACTATATGCGCAGCATTCGAAAGACAACTTTTCTTCTCAGCTTCGAAGCCTACGTTAAAATACGTTACGTCCGTTTAGCAAGAAGCAAACGCCACGAAGCGGGGGTGGGGACACCCCTCCAAAATGCAGTTTTCTGGAGACCGGCTCACTACAGCTCGGCGAGGAGAGAGGGCTCGTACGGCGCGGGGCCGCCCTCCGGGCCCCCGCCTCGCCATTCACTCCTCCTGCAAGCTGGGAACCGGAGACGCGCGCTGCGCTCACCTGACCGAGCCAGAAATAAAGCCCGCGGAACCTAAACCTGCAGTGGCGGACGGACACCGCTAGGGACCAGGAGAGCACCAAAGATAAACCGGCCGCGAGCGTGCAAGTGGCCGAC